GTCAATACGCTACTTCCTTTTCCCAGGGATGGAAATTTTTTAATAATCTGTCAAATATTCGTCTACTTAAGAACGTTTTTGTGCAAATGTGAGATTCAATTATGTTTACATTATGATTGGAAGTTTATTTACTTATTTATTATCCCTCTCTTGTTCTTGGCTCTCAACAGGCTTGCGCCCAATTACAGAGTGATCCGCATAATGCTTTTTAGAGGTGCCTCTGCAGAAGGTCTTAAGTTGTTCTATACTACTCCGGTATTTACCTTACGAATTAGGAAAACCTAATTCCGAGTAGCCGGCACAATACTCGAAACTGGTCTAAGGTAATTCCCATCTCTGCCACAGATGACAAATTCACCTCAACCCAGGTGTAGAATGTATAGACAGATAGAACTTGTCAACGTCTTGTCACGTCACATTCGATTGTAATAGTGATCTGAAATATATCCCTCACTTTATGATAACCTTGGATATTGATTAGACCGAGGCCTACGATTCTTACAGGCCGGAGCGCTCGAAAAGTCACGTGACGTTAGGAGTCATATGAAATACATTACGGCTTATGGAAAATCCGTGCGTGGCTCCACTATTTATTTTTGTACTCCGGATCCGTTCAACATAGAGCCACGAAATTTCAATGAGAGCTTCTCAATAGTACACACAATCAAATTATGGTGTTCGTTAATTTTTAATAACACCAAAAATAATTAATTTTTAGGTTTAAAGTATTGAAGATAAAACGATGTTAGTAAATCCGTGTTTTTCTATCTTTACATCATCATATTTCTTTTTCTAGGAACTATATCATTATAAACCTTTCGGCGTCTTAAACTAGAATGATATGCGCTTCCATTTATACGTATATAATGTCTTATCTTGTATTAGTGTAGTTTTAACAGGCCCTACAAAATCGCGCATTTATTATCCGCGCAGAGAAAAATTCACCATGCGAGAAACTTTTTTGTTATTACTATAATTGTATCACATATATCGAATGAATTGTGGCCAAAGGACACAAAAATGTTCTTCAGAAGGAATTTTTAAGAAATGGTTTCTTGTTTCCTTTTTTTCAGCAGCTGAAGTAAATAGCGCGATTTCAAGAATAAGTGAACGCGCAAAGGAATTATGTTTCAAATAATTGTTAGTAATCGATTTTCAAATTGTTTGTGAGATTCAAATTTACATTAAACTTATAAAATTAAAGATATTATCAGTCAAAAGTATGGAGTATATCTTATATCTTCGTTAATATGAATTTTGCAGTACATAAAGTATTTTAGTTATACCTTCACGTGTTAAAGTGAAATGGGAAATTTACCTTGTCCGCCGCCTAAGAGGCCTGGTAAGTATCGTAGGCTTTCATCTTCATTCTATGAATAAATAAAAATAACCTTTTGAATAAGGAAGTTTTAAAAAATAGCATTTTCTATCCAACTTACAGCAGTTTTAGTAAACAGTGCCGTTTTTTTTTCGTTTTCAGAAGTAACTGTTGTGTCATTTTCTAAATCTTAGAATATTTCAATACTTATATTTAACATCGCCTCATCTTCTGCTAAATTACACGACGAAACAAAATCTTTGATGCAAAATACTCCTCTTGAATCTCACAAACACAATTTGAAAATCGATTACTAACAATAAATTATTTGAAACATAATAATTCCTTTGCGCGTTCACTTATTCTGAAATCGCGCTATTTACTTCAGCTGCTGAAAAAAAGGAAACAAGAGACCATTTCTTAAAAATTCCTTCTGAAGAACATTTTTGTGTCCTTTGGTCACAATTCATTCGATATATGTGATACAATTATAGCAATAACAAAAAAATTTCTCGCATGTTGAATTTTTCTCTGCGCGGATAATAAATGCGCGATTTTGTAGGGCCTTATAAAACTATACCAATATCAGATTAGGCATCATATACGCATAATTGGAGGCGAATATCATTCTAGTTTAAGACACCGAAAGGATTATAATGATATAGTTCCTAGAAAAAGAAATATGATAATGTAAAAATAGAAAAACGCGGATTTACTAACATCGTTTTATCTTCAATACTTTAAACCTAAAAATTAATTATTTTTAGTGTTATTAAAAATTAACGAACACCATAATTTGATTGTGTGTACTATTGACAAGCTCTCATTGAAATTTCGTGGCTCTATGTTGAACGGATCCGGAGTAAAAAAAATAAATAGTGAAGCCGCGCACGGATTTTCCATAAGCCGTAATGTATTTCATATGACTCCTAACGTCACGTGACTTTTTCGAGCGCTCCGGCCTGTAAGTATCGTAGGCCTCGCTTGTACCTATACGCAACAAACCGAAGACGCTTGGGACGAGGTTCCATGGAGTTGTACTGTTTATTTGTTTGATATTTGTCATTTGTGTAATTTGTTTCACTAAAAGTAAAAGTGTAATGACTGATGACTTGTTTATTAGACGGTTTTGAATGAAACTATACGGATGAGGTAATGTCTAGCGCATTTTTGCAAATTTATTTGTAAAAAGGCACCTTTGGTCCGCTGGCTGGCGGCAACTGCGGGCCAGTAGAACAACGCTTGTAGGAAGACGAGGAGTGTACATGTACATACTGGGGTCATGTAATTAACAACTTTAGGGACGGGGCTACAAGATGGGGGGCCGGCACCGTCTGGACGCCATCCCCGAGTGTGGTGTACTAACCTGGAGATTTTTCATTTTTTTTCTATCTTCTTCTACTGCAGTTTTAGTCTGATTGTTTTCAAATTGGTGTCGTCGGAAAGATCTTCTGAACACGCACAACCACTGCGTGACGGAATTTTGTTTTTTTTTTCCTATAGGGACAAAATTAACCACCTTATACAAGGCGAGCGTCTTCGTGGGGTAATCGATTTCGGGCGCCCAAAACGTAACTCCCGCTGAGAATTTTGTACGCGGTTTCAAGTTTCTTAACTTTCAAAACTTCAAACGCGAATTGAGAATGAACGGGACGTAGGAAGTGGGTACCAACAAAGAGAATGTGGGTATAGCCTTGTACAAGATTTTATTGATGGTGAAGTCAAAACTGGCTACTAGAATACTGATCTGCCACACAAAAATGCAAAAAGTCCCTTCGATATCACACGAGGACTAATAATTTATGGTGCTCCAGTTTCGTTTCGTGTTTACTCCTTGCTATGGGAGACAGATATAGATCTTGATTTGATGCATAGGAACTTTTACTTACTTGTACAAATGTACACCCTATATAAACCAAATAAGGAATTACGTTTTTGCAGTGCTTTACTTTATACAGGCTGTTTCACGCACACCGTTTTTAGTTTTTTATTATCTATCGAAGGAAAATATTAGGTATCATGATCGTTTCACTTTCGGTTTTACCGGATTTGGACCACAACTTTCTTATTTTAAATAGAACACCCTGTATTTTATTGCATTTTCGAAATCTACATGAAAGTCTACGTCGTTTGATACCACATTTTTCTATACCCAGCATCAAAGATTTTCAAGATTTTTCAAAATTTTTGACTTTTGACTGCTTTTCAAAAAAGTACACCTCCAATTCAAATTTCCTTTTTAGGATGCCTTCATAGAAGTAACTGCTGTAATATAACTTAAAATTAATCCGATCACAGCAACTTGATTTTAGTACGGTAGACCCTTAATTGTTAGGAAACTTAATAGCCTGGTCAAAGTACACAAAATATTCGTAAAATGCAGCAAAAAAATAAACCTTTTGGAAATTCAAATGTGCTTAATATGAGAAAATCTTTACCAATTTAGGTAAGCAATTTTGCGGAAGAACTGGTTGAAAATTTTTTTATTTATTTTTTCACTCTAATTGTTTAAATAATGAAAATACAGAAAAATGTTCAAATCAAAAATTATAGCCAATACCTACAAAATTTGTCTGAAAAGTTTTCTGATATCTTCATTAGTTTTTGAAATATACCTACCAAATTTTCCACAGAGTATTTTTAAACAACATCGATTTTCAAGTTTTTAATTTTAAGATAGTAAATAAACAATGACACGTAGAAATGTAGAGTTTTCATTTATTAATCATATCGAAATCAATCAGTATCATTCATCTTCCGAGCTCAAATATAACTCAATATCATTTTCATCTTCACTGAAGTTATACCCAAAATGTGAACCTTGAGTGCCTTTGATTATCACCATTTATAGTTGTTTGATCGTCGTTAAGTCATCATTATTTGCATCTTCGTCAATATCTACGTTGTTTTTTTCTAAATTAGTACAATTTCCCGTTTGATAGTGACCACATGCAGGTGAACAAGGTAGCCCAGCTTTTCTACAGCCGGCGCAAGCCTTTTTACAACCAGTCTTGCAGTTACAAAAGATCATATTTAAAATTTCAAGGGGAGCAGCGTCTTGTTTCATTTTTCAGTGCATTACAACCTTCAAATTATTAATTTTAAAATCAAGCCTTTAATAAATTCGGCTCACGGAACGTTCGCGCGCACCCACGAATCGACTTCCGCTGAAATCAATTATATCTCGTACACTTTCCAATTTACAGAAAAACTTTTCAGACAAAATTTGTAGATAAATGCATCAGCTACAAATTTTAATTGAAACTTTTTTCCTTATATTTAATATTTAAACAATTAGAGTGAAAAAACAAAAACAACATTTTTCACTCGACAATTTTCCGGAAAATTGCATACCTATCTTCGTAAAGAATTTTTCATATTAAGCACAACCCTTTTGAATACTCAAATTTGAAATTTCAAGAGGTTTTTATTTTTGTGAAGCTCTATGTGTACTTTGACCACGCTATAATAGTTTCTACATCGGAAAATAATAAACTTTCGTGGGAAACATGTTTCCCTACACTTACGTACCATTTTTTGAAGACAGTCTTCCAAAAACGCAATTTTTCGTTTGACCTAGGAAACTGTGTGTCAAGAATTTGGCACATTTTGCGTTGTAGTCCAAAAATTCACTTATTGTTTATTTTTTGGAAAAGAGAAGCCCGAAAATAAAGGGAGACAATAATAGTTTAATGTTCTTTATTTTCCAATTCGGCATTCTCTTTCTTAATTGCTGCGATATCCGCATTTAACCGCTCGAGCTTGCTACCAGTTTCCCTAAGCAGCTCAGCGTCAATTTGCTCTTGCAAGTTTCTACACTCGCGCTCGACCAAACCCAGATTGGTCACGGCCTGCACCACCTCCCCACAGTCGCCGTGTAACGTTGCCAGCAGTTTGTAGGCTTTACGTGACATTTCATCGCGCTTTGCATCCTAGAGCCAGCGATCATGAATTGGTTACCGTATCGACTTAACTTACTCTAAATATTAGCTCGTCTGACAGCGTAAATGAACGATCTAACTGTCCGTTTAGGTTATTGATGTCTTTCTGTACGATTTTAGTGTCATACAAAATTTTGTCTATGTCATCATTTTGCTTCTTGATATTTCCGATTATTTCCAAAATTCTTCTGGTATAGGCCGACCTACAACGCCCCACGTACTAAGCAGCTTTGATCTGGTCATACCTACCGATTCGTGTTCTTGTGGAGCGTTTCGCACTCTTGCAGTAACTGTCGTTCCAGCTTCTCCTTATCCGCCAACTCCTTCAACAACTCTGCCTTTTTTGTTTTCACATTCTGCAGTTTTTGTTCTTCACCGAGAAGTTTAGCCTGAAAGATGGCAAATTGTGAATGTGCAAAGGAGGTGTTTTCCTACCTTTTGCGTATTCATTTGTTGCTGCAGTTGTTCATATTCCTTTAATAATGGCGTCTGTATATCGTTCCAATGGTTGGCCAGTTCGACTAACCGTTTGTTACCATTCTCTACCAGACTCTTTAGTTTGATTAGATTATCGTCATTTTTTAATACCGCCATTGTTTTTGATCTGGTTTTTATTTTCGCAACCGATTCTTTCAATACTTGCTCTTTTTTGTTACGCATTTCCTTAGTCTGGAAAAGAGGGAATTTTACTCAAAGTAACTGGAATGGTCGAAGTATTGACTCACACTTCAAAATTTATTTCTAGGTTTAAATCCAAAATTTTAAGTTTGATACTAACAATTTAAGGTTTCAATTGAAATTTCAAAAAGCTTGATAGGTGAATTTTTATTTGATCACCTCTTGGTAAAAAAAAGGTTTTAAATGAGTATATTGTGGAAAATTCAAATTGAAGAATTCCAAGATTTTTGCATCTTAGGATTCTTAGTTTGAACTTCTTATGACTTTTAAATACAGGTTTCAATTTTTAGAATCTAAAAACCAGGAAAAGTTACATTAGTAAAAATCTACTTGAATTTACTTGTAGGGAAATCTTTTGGAAAAACTTCTAGTTCAAGACCTACTTTGTTTTTTTTTATGTTTTTATCTTTTAACTCGGTTTTTTGAGGGAGTCTGAAAAAATGTTCCTAACGGCTTCAAATTTGCTACACAGTCATTACATTCTGTTTTGAACACTATTTTTGAGTTACATTTTTTCAGATTCCCTAAAAAAATTCAGTTACAAAAACATAAAAAAAATCAAAATAGGCCTAGGACTTTGAATTTTGCATGTTTACTCAGTTTTTCAATCTAAACAACTTTTCTTAATAACATTTGTGCATATCTCGTCCCCGTCTTGTATACCAAAAACGTTTTTTGAAAATTTCAAAGGCACCCTTGATTTTTCGAAACTAAAATTGTCACAAATTAGTTTCCAACCAAACAGGGCGGATCCCCAGAAATTCAATTGGCATTTTTTTTGCTTTTACAAGAGACAAGCAATTAGGAGACACACTGTATAATGAACTTTCGAGGTAATTAACACAATCCACAAAATTTTGGAGGCAAATGTATGCCCTCCCTTCTCCTACCTTATTAGACTCTTGCTCCAAATCATTATAAACTTTCACCAACCCTTCGTGTTTGCGTTTATAATCTTCGAGTTCATTATGTAAATCCCTAAAATGGTCCTCCTCCCCGTGTCCAACAACTTCATTTACAACTAAAGGTGCTACAATTGCATTTGGAACCTCTTCAACGCCATCCACCACATTTAAACTTGTCTCCTTGTTCTCAGGCGATTTGATAAAATCAACTGTGCCTACAAACTTGCTATCGTTGTAGAGAAGACTGGGAATTAAATTGTGTGGGGCACATTGGCGCGAAACGTCCGGAAGATGATGAATCCAGTAATGCTTTAATGCTAAAAGTGAAGTGTCAGTAGATTAAGAGATAATCATTACAACCTTCTGTAACTGGTTCGTCCTGTAAGTTTGGCACTTGAATTCTTTCGCTTAGCAACCTTGGGCTGTGTCCAAAATCTAGCTTTAGGTCGACACTTCCACAATCGCGCACTCCCTGCCTCAACAGATCACATGGTACCCATGGCTTTTCAAGGTTCAGACGAATGGTTTCTTCGATCTTTTTCACGAGCCGTGGCACGTATCCTACAACTTAACATTAGTGATGCTCAGGACACGAGGACGATGTACCAAGCTCGTCTGTGACAGTTTTGTGTGTCTCACGTGGAAGTCTTTCCACCAAAAACATGAGTACTCTACGTACTTCAATCTCGTTGCAGTACAAAATCGTCTGATACCCCATATCACCTCTGTATCCCAAGCCCTTAATGTGCTCCGCTATCGCTGTGGCATGCTTTAGACGTAGACTCATCGACTGCGGAAGGCTACCTGGCAAGCTGATATCAGGTAAGATTGTTTCGAGACAGTGCGACATCGATGAAAACACCATTTCGGTGGTGAACTCTTTCAGACTTTTGACATTTTCATCGATATTACTGTAACATGAAGTTATTTTAGCGTAACACAAGGTCCTTCTTACCAAGACAGATTTCGTAAGGCGTCTATAATGATATTGTCTACTTCTTCCATTTTTTAAAAAGGATTTATTGTATTTTTTTCTTTGAAAACATCTCCAACAGCTGATTGTTTTTTCTACCACCGTTGGAACTACGCTTACGATCGTTTTGAACTACGTTAAATCATTTGACCTAATTGAGTAATATTTTGTGTAAAGTTTTAATTAAAGATGTAAACAAATGTTGCATTCTTTATAAATGGAAAAATTTAAAAATAGGGTCTAGAGTTTTGTAGAAAAGCGCGTTGTTCATAAATGTATATAATCAATGATGAGCGGCGAGCTCGCGGTTTAGCACATCCTCCACCTTTAGCTCGCGGTGCTTGTCATAAACCTAACCTCAAACTTTTTGTTTTTTACTTGTGAAAGGATCAATTCAAATTGTGTTCTACTGACTGAACCGCGCAAAAGACGTCAAAATGGAGTACGACTTGCCCTCCGATTTTGATATAATAGTCGTTGGGACAGGTAATTTTCCCCTGCCAGTTACTAACAATTACTCATCGGTTTCTTTAGGAATGGTCGAGTCAATCGTGTCAGCTGCCGCCAGCCGAATTGGAAAACGCGTTCTTCACATCGACAGGTAATCTTACATTCCGATCTACCAAGTCTAACTTTGCTTTGTGCAGCAACTCTTACTACGGTGGATTGTGGGCGTCATTCAATTTGGACTCCATCAGCAAAATCCCCGAAGGTAATCGTTCTCAGCCAGTAGTGGAGAATAAGGAGAACGAGATAGTATATCCGGTTGGGAATGATGTTTTCGATTTAAGGATTCACTCGCAGAAATGGCACATTCCCGAGTAATTGATTGTGCACTTAATCAAAGCAGATTCATTGTTAAATTGCAGGTCGAATCCTGAAAAAGATGTGGATGAATCGGATAGTGCGGTCGCACAAGAGGAGCACGAGTGGACGCAGGAGAAATTGCTGAAGATCTCTCGAAAATTCAACATCGATCTTGCGCCTAAGGTGGGTGGAATTTGTGTAAAAGGGGCTTATTGTATTTTATTTTTGAAAAACTAACGTTTCCACTCTGAGGTGCTATTTAGTTCTTTCCAGAGTATCTTAGATACTTTCTATGGCTCTTAATACACGTTTAAGCTGTCTAAAACTCGAAATCTGTTGCGATATATTTACAAACAATTTTGCAGTTGCACTTTGCCAAGGGCGATTTCGTGGAGTTGTTGATCTCGTCAAATATCGCACGTTATTCCGAATTTCGGAGTGTCAGCCGCATTCTGACGTGGTTAAATGGGAGCCTAGAGATAGTGCCGTGCTCGAGGTCCGATGTATTTTCGAGTAACAGAGTGTCGGTCATCGAGAAGCGCATGTTGATGAAGTTGCTGACTTCGTGCGTCGATGGTGACGAAAATGAGTTCAAAGGTTACGAGGGTAAAACATTCCAAAGTTACTTAAAAGATCGGAAGTTAACTGAGAATTTAATTCATTATGTGTTGTATGCGATTGCGATGTGTACTGACGATACTTTATGCTTGGAGGGCGTGGAAAAGACTAAGCGCTTTCTTGGAAGTTTGGGCCGATTTGGTAAAACTCCATTTTTGTATTCGATGTATGGCAGTGGGGAAATCACGCAGGCTTTTTGCAGGTAGTTCCTCGAATGAGATTCATTTTTGATGTTATTGTAGGCGATCTCGGAGGAAGGTTGTAGAATTGAACTAAAATTGCATTCTATCAATGTGGTAGAGTTTTGACACACGAAAGTAGTGTTTTTAGCATAGTTATTCAACAACATATAGCTAAACTCTGTCTATCTGTCCGAAGATTTGAGATCTCAGCTGGGCACATTTTAAAAATTCAAAAAAAATGTCCAACTACAATTCCTGGCTCGACAACTAAAATGGACATTTTCAAAAACCAAGTTTAGCTTTGATGTTTTAATACCAACTTAAAGAGAGTAAATTACAAGAGGAGTGGGGTAAATGACGCTAATAAACCCCCCTGTACGATCATGAAATTAATAAAAATGGCTAGAGGGTACCTTGTGCTCTTTTCTTGTGATAGCACTTTTCAAAAATTGAAAAAATTGAAAAAACCATTCCGAATAAGAACAGGATAAACATCATCTAATAGTGCTCATAATAACTGGAACTGTTATAACTATGAAAGGGAACACTATTACTTTCTGACCCTTGTTTGGAACAGATAAAAGACTGTTACAAATCTGAAAAACTCGGAACTGGAATTTTACAATTATTTCTAGAGAACTGGAACCCGAACCGAATCCATTATAAATAATTTTGCCATGGAAGTGTTAGAACTGGAACCATTATTTTCAGTAGGTCCACATTCCTAATTAAAAGGCAAACCAAATGTATAGTAACGTGTTACCTATACTTAAAAAAAATGTCATAGCTCTACTTTGTACGCATGCGCGTCCACTTTTAGGTGACACGAGCGCATGTGCGCATTCGGAATTTCAGGATTGTTAAAGTTAAGGAATGGACCGAAAGGAATCATTATTTACAGTTCATTATAATTGAAAAAAATGTAAAGTGCATTTTCAAAAGTTTTAAGCGTGCTGTGGAAAATAAGAATTCTCACACCGCGCTTTATTTTTACGCCTAAACCATGGCATACTTACTTAAAAATGGAACCTTTTGTAATTTGTTTGTTAAACATGACCATTAGGTAAATGTAATTTTGGTACAGACTTAAGTCGTCACTTACAAAAATATCGAAGTATTTGGATATCAATGGCGGTGTTTCACAAGGATGCATTTTAGGACCTGATTTATTTGGTATCTTCAATCTTCATGTCAAACAATGAATGTTGTGACCAGAAATGTTATAAATCATGGACGTCAATGGACAAAGATAGTAATTAATGATTGATTAATCCTCATTTAATCATCATAAATCAAAAGTTGGTCAAAACACTATTACTTAGTACTTACAAGAAGGCGGTAACGGATCCTTAAAGTAGATACCCTACAATAACATCGAAATTTAAAAACACTTTGTTCTATCCACAATTTTTCAGACTGAGCGCTGTTTTTGGCGGAATTTACGCTCTAAATCAGTCTCTTAACGGCTTTATATACGATAACGACAATACTTTTAAGGGAATTATTTGTGGAAAGCAACGTATTAATGCAACACACTTGGTAATGAGCCTTGAAAAGCTACCCAAAGAAATAGTCGATTTTTCGACTACAGAATACATTTCGCGCGCAATCTTTATTACCGACAAGTAAGACTAAGCAGCCGACGTACAGTTCTTAGCAATTTATTCTTCTAGATCGATACTTGAAGACGAAAGGGAGCATTTAACATTATTACTTTTTCCTCCAGTCGACCGAAAGGCTGCGTGCGTAGTTCTCGAACTTGGGTCTTTGACCGGAACATGTCCGAAGGGCCTACGTATACGTCACTAAACCGCGCCTTTCAGGTTGTACAAATTCTATTTGTAGATATTGTTCACGTTTTTACCAAACAAACTGTAAATCCGGAAGACGACCTGAAGCATTGCGTCGAGAAATTGTTTTGTAAAAGGGAGGGAGAATCGAACTCCTCCCCGAGCATATTGTGGTCATTTTATTTTTCGGCGCCGAATACATTTTCGCAAAAATTAGAATGCGAGAAGCTGTTGAATACGTACGTTTGTCCCGGTCCGGATCTTGATTTGGATTACGATCCGGCGATAGAAAGGGTATACGCTCTGAAGCTTGCCGTCAGATATTAACGAGGCATTTTAAGGCTAAGGAAATCTTCGAACGCATTTATAGCAATGCGGAATTTCTTCCACGTGCACCTGATCCCGAAGAAATTATTATCGAGGGCGAAGACAATAATAACATCATTAATGAAACCGAAGAACGTGCAGA